AAATAAATATACTTCTTTATTTTAAAACTTAGGTATATTTAGATTCTCCCACTTAACATAGATGATGATATGAACTTCCCAACAAATCTCTCTTCCAAAAAGCAATATAAATGCCATGACATTAATTTTATGCGTCCTACTTAATCAAGGAACAGATCGCCCTGGCGTATTGTATAAGAGCCGTCAGCCACGTATAACCGATGAGGAACCATTCAACTGCCCGATTTGGTTCTGATCAGATTGCATGATGATGATGATCATCATCATCATCATATGGTATAGTGAGAGAGAGAGAGTCAAAGGAGATGGCGGATTAATGAATATTATATATTACAAAGATTATCTCAGATTCTGGACTAAGCTAGCAGGACAATAAGAAAAAACCTGGTCTCTTGTTCTGGCATTTCCCATTTTCCAATTATTCTATATTTCTTTTTTTTTTTTGACGTTTCCAATTATTCTATTTCTATGCATAAAATTGTCATCTTTTTCTCATTCACTTTTGGAATTTTACAGGCAGTTTTCCATGTCTCTTCTTCTCCAGCTATTATAGTGTCCCACTCCCCCCTTTATATATAACAACAATATTGTCCCTCAAGCAACAAGAAAATTAAGAATCAAATTCATAACATGGGGAGAGCTCCTTGCTGTGACAAAGCCAGCGTGAAGAGAGGCCCATGGTCACCTGAAGAAGACGCCAAGCTCAAGGCCTACCTCGACCAACATGGCACTGCCGGAAATTGGATTGCCTTGCCCCAGAAGATAGGTAATAATCTGCTTAGCAACTTAATTATACATAGAACATTCACATTAATTTCTTATATGCATCTAGAGAATTAATTCGCAGTACTATAAACAACAATATTTGGTTTCAGGGCTTAAGAGATGTGGGAAGAGCTGTCGGCTTAGGTGGTTGAATTACCTAAGACCAAACATTAAACATGGAGGATTCTCTGAGGAAGAAGAAAACATCATTTGCAGCCTCTATTTAAGCATTGGAAGCAGGTATATTTTTCATGCTCTACTTCTGCAGATATAATTGAATACTTTTCCTCTTAACTATACAAGGACTAATTAGATGAATTTCCTTTGGAATATTTTATAGATGGTCTATAATTGCGGCACAATTGCCTGGGAGAACAGACAATGACATCAAGAACTACTGGAACACAAGGCTGAAGAAGAAGCTCCTAGGGAAGCAGCGCAAAGAACAAGAAGCTCAGCGCATCAAGCAAGAGGTAAAGAGGGAGACAGAAGATTACTGTTCTGTTCCTGCAGGAGTCATGAGCCAGAACACCCTATACTGGCCACAGCTGCCTGCAGTCTTGCCTCCAAGGGCAGATTTAAATCAAAACTCTCACTTCAAAGACCAAGAATCCCTCAGGAATCTGGTTATTAAGCTAGGAGGAAAATTTTCCCACGACCATTCACAACAAACAAGCTTTCAATATCCTCTTGGTGAAGTGTCCTTCACTCAAGATCAAATACTATACGAAAATTCGATGAACATGCTTGCTTCTTCCAATTCTATGAGTCCCATAAGCAGTACTGCTAACTGCTCTCAGTTGTCAAATACCAGCTATGATGTTCAGGGCCTTGAGAATTCCCCGGCCGAGCTAAGGCAAATGGTTTACGGCAATCAACAACAACAGTTTAATGAATTGGAAGGCTTCTATGGAATGGATATGGTGGATGGTAGCAGTGGGAGTAGTTCCGTAGAAAGCAGCAGCTGGGGGGACATAAACTCACAGCTGGCTTATACTCAATTTGTGTCTGGGTTTCAAGGTGGCCACCAACAAAGTGTGCCTCAATGGTTCTAACTTTTGAAGAGTCAAGTTATTTTGGGTCACATTAACAGCAGTACTACTACTGCATATGGGCGGGATGTAAATTTGTACTCTTAGGAAATTAATCTGATTTCAGAGACTTTTAGATATCCTATAGATATTCTAATAAATTCTTGCAAAAAGATTTATTGTTTTGATCTTTTCCTCTTTAGCTTCGAATCTTAGAACCTTTAAGTTATTAAAATGACAGTTCTGAAATGCCACTAGGGTGGGTCTAAATCTGCTTGCCCGTTGAGTGCGCAGCAGGGTTGTTTAGAGTATGGATATATATATTTTTTTACACAAATTGATGGGGTCTGATCTCGGCTGAATGGGTTATGTTGAGGAGCTTTATTGAGTATTTGATTCTTAATTGTAATGTAAAAGGTAGATCCTCTTTTCTTTCCAACAGCTAGAGATATGGAATGATGTTTAAGATTTACAATAAATGAAAGATCATTCAAGGCCTCCATGAAAAAGGTAGCAATATATGAAGTTGTAAAGGTGCTTGGATGTTTTGGCCTCAACTTGCCAAGCTTTAGCTAGTAGGGTATGGGGAGAGTGGCTGCATTCTGTTATTGTTCTCTTCATGTCTGCAATATTAGCACTCTGCGCTGTTCAAAAATACAAAAGTGTGCAATATTAGAAATATGAAACTAGATGGCACATCTAATTTTCTCTGTTCTCACTCCATCTCATATATGGTTCCAAATAAGAATATTGAATTTCAGGATATAAAACACGAATGAATGCAATCTCATTTGGTCAAAAAAAAAAAAAAACTATTACTGTTGTCCGATTACAAAACACTAATTAGTGTAATGATTATTGAAGTTTAACTACAGTCTACCGCCTACAGATAGTCCCATCAAAAACTTAACCTCAAGATGTTAATTAACCCTAGAGGTTGCGGTAAGTGCTTGTGGGTAAATTTGTGTGTTTTGGCTGGTCTAGAGAACTTCTGCTTGCTTGCTTGTTTTCCTTTTTCTTTTATATAAGTAGATATGAAAAAATTGTTATATAATGGAGAATATAAAATAAGAATAGTTTTATAAAAGAAAAAATTATCCAATTAAAATTGTACTTGTATAAATGATAAGTTTTTTGATATTAGAGACTCTCCTCATTTAATTATTTTTATTTTACAATTTAGATAAGAGATTAATTTCTTAATAAATATATTTTATTTTATAATTTAAATT